AACCAACAGAGCGCTGTCTGCACCGCTATGAAGTTGAGCTGGCCTAGGAAGGGGACTCCTGAATGTGTAATTGTCCCTTGAAAAGCATGCACAGAAAGTCAGTAAGCTGAAAGCAGCTTGAAGAGCAAACATATTCTCCTATTTTATTCATGCCTTTGCTGCCTTTAAAGTTTTAAATGTGATCCCTTTTTATACCACACCATAATCCACTAGATGTGACTAGTTGGCCGTAATTTTCTATGGATACTTTTCCAGAAGATTTCTCAGGATCTTTCCTTCTGGCCTGATCTCCAATTCTTCCTAATTGAGATTTTTCTCCCATTGACTCGGACGAAGCTCATCCGAGCTGGCCAGGGGCAGCTGCGTCTTTGTTGGGCCTGGGTTCCCCCATTGCAGTCTTTGCTCTTTTAAGCAGGGATGGTTTCTCATCTGTAAGCCTGAGATTCTAACCCCATCCTGTGTACTTAGCTTATTATACCATTGGATAAAGTTTCAAAATCGTCTTTTTGTACTAGAATGACTACATTTTTCAAATCACTAGTTTCTTCCATTTTGGTAAGTTGAAAGTGTGGCAAAGTCATGTGATCTTGGTTTACAACATTGATTTGATAGTCTAAAGTAGCACCAATACTACAAACAAGTATTTTGATGGTCTCTAAAAAGATTCAGCTACCCCAGACAGTAGGTGGTTGTTGGAGAGGCCTTCATTCTGGTCAGCAATAAAGTACAAGAGAATCGTGAGACCAGCTGATTTTTAGGCTGCTACTCATGAGAAACAAAGGTACCTAATAAAGTGGTTTGAAAGAAGATCGTGCCAACATCCATGAACATTTCAGCTTAGAGCCTATTTTTTTTTTTGCCAAAGTTAAATGGGTTATTAATTCAGTTCAGAACTTAATATGGGAATTGTAGACAGCTTCACTTTTCTTTTTCTTTTTAACATAATGGACAAAATAAGTCTTCTTTTGAAAAGGGCAATTTACTCATACTTCATAGGCAGGATTGATCTTGTGATTAAGAAAAGAGTCCTTTCCACCTGCATATGACTCTTTACTTCCTCAAAGCATTTTTACATTTATTACTTCCATTTAATATTGTCCCACCATAGGAGAAGGTGATGGGATCCCAGTCTCCATTTATTTTTTATTTTTCATTAATTTTCTGAGTAGCAGAATGAGGATTAAAATTGCTTCTTACAGATCAACAAACATGCTACCCTATCCATGTACACAATCTGCCTTAGTTGGTGATACATGTCCCATGCATCAGCTGATGGTAATTCTTTTTTTTTTTTTCCTACTGAGCTTATGGTAATTCTGTTGACACAAATCACCAATAGGGAGCAAATCTGCTTTACTTAATGAAAATACTCATTGATAGCTTTGTCCCTACCCCATGGGTTAATTTTTCTTTGTGCAGTTGGGTCTGAGATAACAGGCCCCAGACGATCCTAAAGCACAGTCAAGGTTGAGAAACACAGATTCCCAGAGATCTATTTTTTTACGTGTATACTCTTGTTAGAATTTTTAACAGGGAGCAGTCAGCCACATGAGCTTTAAATGAGATTCCTGTACCTGAAATTTCCATATCACTTGTGTCCTCTTTCCTATCCTCAAAAATGAAGGCTTCCATGAAATGATTATGGGGCCACTTGTGTGCCGAGGTAACCAGCTGCAGTTTAGCTCTTCTCTAATGCCCATAAAAATGAATAATGCATGCTCTAAAATATTGGTAATAAAAGGCAAAAACATAGAATACAAACTCAATGGTCTGAATCAATGGATTATTCTGCAGACGGCTATATTGAAAAACTGAAAGAAAGTAATTTTCAAAGCATAAATATTTTAATCACTCTCCAATTCTACTTCTCTTATATAAATAAAAAACATCCCATCTGCTACTTCCAAAGCCTGGAAGAGCAGAAGACAGCTGCTTTTCCAAACATTCTCTTCTAGCTGCAGCATTAACCATGCATCAGATATCTGCAAATTGATGTCCCAGGCAAAGCAGTTGCAGGAGCTGTTCCTGCCCTGGACAGACTCATATAGTTTGCTGGATAAATTAAAATTTTGAGTTGCAGGGGACTGCTTCTCCAGTGAGGAACCCAGGAAGGCAGATGAGTGAGCCATTCTCACAGAGCCCTGGATCTCAAGTTGACAATGCACCTGCCTTTCATACTCTGTTCAAAGTGGCAAGAGCCTGAGATGGTGTCCAAGAAAGTTCAAAAGAAATTGTTTCATGTTGGATCTTTTAAGATATTTCTGAATTCAAATTTGGCCAGTCTTAGGGAACAAGAAAAACATTAAATCAACCAGTAACTCCAAGTCCCTATTTGTTCCTAAATTCAATCTCCTCTGCTACCAAGTTAATAACAAGAAGAAAAGTGAACTGATTTCAATTTCAGCACTTCTCTCCTCTTCAATTTATTATGGAGTAAAACAGAACAGTGGCTGATAGGCAGGTGGTAGGAAAAAAAAAATTAGAAAGACAAATTTTAAACTGAACTAGTGACTCTTACACAGGGCCCTTCTTTGTTAAAAAGGCTAGTGGAGGCAGAACAGGGACATAAAAGAAAAGGGACATAAATATATTTGGATTTGAGCATCCACTGGCAGAACATCATAAGTGAGATTGTATCTGCCCACAAAAAGAAAAACAAAAGGCTCGTCTAGTCCAAATTTCATTAATTTAAATTGATATACACACCTAAAAATCAAATATAGCTACTAATAAAATGTATGCTGTGATGGACAGAATAATGGTCCCAAGGATGCCCTGTTCCAACTCCCAGAACCTGTGAATATGTTACCTGATATGGCAAAGGGGAATTAAATTGCAGGTGGAATTTAATTTGTTATCTGCTGATCTTAAGACAAAGAGATGATTCCAGATTATCTAAATTCAATGTAATCACAAGGGTCCTTAAAAGTGGTTGGCCAAGGCCGAAGAGGGACCACAGTGATGGAACATCTGAAAGGCTGGACCTGCAGCTTCTGGCTTTGAAGATGGAGAAACAGGGCACAGCCTGAGGAAGGCAGGCAGCCTCTAGAAGATGGGAAAAGTCTAGCTTCCCCCTGAGAGCTTCCAGAAAGAAACACAGTTCTGCTGACACCTTAATATTAGCCCAGCAAAATGCATTTTTGGCTTCTGAACTATAGAATTGTGAGATACTAAATTTGTATTGTCTAAGCTGCTAAATTCGTGGTAATTTGTTACAGCAACAATAGAAAATGAAACATATGTGATAACTATGCATATAATGGTTGCACTTTTCTGGTCACAAAAGTAACCAGGAAGACAAAGCAAAAAAAAAAAAAAAAATTAATGTACAAAATTAAATTCCCTTGTCTTTCCTATCTCTGACCCTTCTTTGATATCCACTCTTGACTGACACCAAGACATGGGCTGGCTGGTGGGGTCTCCTTGCCCTGGAGAAGCATATGTCCTCACACATAAGGCTGAGGACTAGAGGTATTTCACAACCCAGCCCTTGCGGAGAGGAACTGATCCAGGACAAAGTGGCTGTAGCCACTTTCAAAGACTATTGATTTATATCTCCTCCTTTTTTGGGGGCTTGATTGGATGAAGACTATCCTGTAGATAATTTGCACTGAATTGCAGAGTCTCCCATAATCAACTTAAGTACACTGAAGAGGTTCAGTTATAATCACAGGGGAACTAATGGGTTTCTTTCCTTCCCTGTCCTCCTTGAGTCATGCCTGTCCTCTGGCATAGCTGCTTAGGCACCTGGAAGCTCTGGAATGCAGCTTCTAGATCAAGCAGTGTGCTCCATAAAGGAACATCACTAAGGCCTAATTCAGTGAAATCAATAGGTGGCCTGAGATGCAAAGGAAAGATGGCAGATATGGCTGAGACAGAATGGTGTATATCCATAAAGGCACATGATGAGATCCCTATGTTGAGGGAGACAGGTTAGAACCTAAGGATAGAGTCCTTTTCCTGATTTTCTGTCTGCAACCAGTGTTGATTTAAGATGCCACAAACCAGAAACGCAGCAGAAAGGAAGGATGAGACATAAATTCAGAGATAAGGAGACAGGGAGGCAAAGACTAACAAGATCATTAAGTGCAGTTGGAATTCAGAGAGGTTATGCTTCAAGCCACAGCCCACAAAGGCCCCAGGGTGTGAGTATGAGACCAGATTCTTAGACTCTTAGGTTATATTCATAGTACTGGGTGAATGGGCTTGCGTGCGGGGGCCAACCATACCGGAGCCATTTATGTCTGATCCAATCCTAAAACAGTTATTAGTCATAGTATTGTTATTCCTAGGGCTTTTATTGAAAGATATAGAATTTGTTTATCTCTAAAAGCATGGACTGTGCTTCTGTTTCCTTTAGGTTGGTCAACACCTCTCTCTTTACTTGACATTCACATATGAATGGATATGGGAAAGTTGCGCTCATGTGTGAAATTATACCACAGAAAAACCAAACGACAGCACAGTGCAAAGGATTCAATGCTTATAAACCAAGAATGCTCCACATAAACCTATACAATTCCCTTAAAGATACCTATCCTTTAATAAAAATTCTTTTTGACAAAGCACAGGGCAGATGATCTCCACACCTCCATAATCCACAAAGAAACAAATGGCTAAGACAAGGCTGATCTGATTGGCTCTGTGCTTGTCTACTCGACAGGTGGAGGAAGGGCACCCTCCCCATTAATCTTCTAGTATTGACAAGACATCCAAAACTAAAGCCACAAAGTGATAAGTTCACCTTGACAAAGTTGAAAAGAAAGGGTCTCTACCAGGGGACTCTGGCTTGGACAAAAGGGACAAATCTGCTTATACCCAGAGGTTGCTTTCATTGTTGCAGCAACCCAAATGATCATTAACCAAAGAAGAAAGTCTTCTTCTTTCTCTTGCCTTGTCCACCACCTTCTCCAGACAGTTGAGGGACCATACTATAGGTTGAGGATGATGCCCCTCTAATAAGATGGGGGGCCCCTTCCTCTGCCCAAGACCCACTTTACCTTGTTGAAGTCTTCAGAAGTTGCCCTCATTTCCTTCCATGTCTTATTCAGGAGCTGGATGCAGATGCAGAAAAACTCCTCAAAGGATCTGTCGTGGGTGAAGAACATCGGGTGGAAGTCATTGCAGGTCTCACTAGCTAGAGGAAGGAGATGGAAAATGAGGAAGTTTTAGAACAGTGAAACAACCACAGGCAGGTTCCCCAAAGAGAGACAAGGACAGCATCTTTGCTTAAGCGGCCATGGACAAAAGGGATTTTAAAAAGGCAATCAAAGGCTAGCCCTCATAAAACAAAGAAGTTTAAGGTCAGATTGGCAGACCTATACGTCAGCATATATTTTTTCTAAAGAACATCAGCTCCAGGACACAGACCTTATGGCTTTGTTTCAGGACCATGTTGAATATGAGCCCTGTATCTGCCTTTTTGACCTTATAGAGATTATTCCAGTTGCCCCCTTGGGCATAGTGCCTCCATCACCCTTAATTTCCCCTTTCTTAACAGAATGACTGGCAGAAGATGGGCTTTCCTGAATACACAATTAATTCCAACTTTGGAAATAGCATCCGTGATTGTGTCTCCAAGGGGCTCTTTTCCCTCTTACGGCAGTGAGGAGGGGACATTTGTGATCATTAACCATCTGATGCCATTAACCATTTGTTTTACATTCCCAGGCACAGATGGCTGGAGGTCAGAGCAAACAAAATGGCTGTGAAGGCTGCATTGGGTCCAGCCTTATTGCATATGAGCCCACCCCTGGTAAGCTTTTTCAGGTCAGATCCAGTGCCCTGGGCTCTAGGTCTGGCCACCTCTCAACTCCTCCTCCTCCTCCTCAAACCAGGGCCCAAGCCCCTCCCTGCATCTCTGTCATCTGCCAAGCTTATACTTTCATAGCCCTTTTATGCATATGACACCTCATTTGGTCTTTGTAAGGTCCCTTACTACTCACAAGAACATTGCAGAGCTCAAGGAACTAGGCTTTGTGATCTATCCCACCCCTAACAAATATATATGCTGTTTCATACAGTGTAAGTGTTTTTATTTTATTTGGAATCTCTAAAGACCAATTAGTCCTCAAGGCCCAGGATGGTGAAATTTCAGGCACTGGAAGTCCAAGAGAGAAGGGGGAAGGGTCGAAGTGGAGTAAAGAGAAGAGACTTTCTGTTGGGGAGAGCCCTGGTGCCTACCATTTGGATGCACAGCAACTCCACACATAGAGAAGACTCTGGACAGGCCCCCGGAAGCTGGATGAACCCTGACCAGATCTAAGGGGAACACACTATGCTCTGGCACAGCTAAAGTTGTTGTATACCCAAATCGCCTCTCTTCAAACTTTCTTAATATAGTGGATTCCAGAACTCTGAACATCCTCAAACAGTCACAAATGTGTTTGTACAGCTCACCCCTGAAAGGCACAACCAGATCTGAATACAAGGCAATGCTGTTTTCTCCTAGTCAGTTAAGGGCAGAGGTGAGCTGCCATATACAGTCATGGAGAAAGGGTTTGAGCACACAGATTCAGGTTCAAGTTCTGTCCATGCCAATCAGAAGCGAGACCCTTTTCCTTTCTGGGTCTGAATTTTCCTAACTAGAAAATAGAAATGAAATCTCCTGTGCCTTTTCCCTAGGCTTTTTCAAGGATCAAATGACACGATTCATGGGAAAGAGCTTTAGAGAGGATAAAAGTTAACACAGATACTTGGCGAGGTGGGGAAAATGACATGAACATTATATCAGCACAGTAGTTCCAGGATCATGGGTGACTGTGTGACATTTCCCCTAATTCCTAGTCAAGTGTGTTCATATCTCAGCAATTAGAAGCAAGAACACACAAGTCACCCTCTCCCCCAGCCTGGGTTACTGGCAGTGAGACACTGGCAAATGTGAAGTTTTGACCTGAGACACAAAGCTATTTAGGGAACTTGGAACATCAACACAGGCAAATTGTGCTGTTTGCTGCCCTGGGCAATGAGCTGTCAGTCTCACTTTCATAAGCATTGAAGCCAATGAAATTTACAAGTCTACAGAAGCACCTTAAAACACTATTACCGTCTGAGAACTCGTTATTAATCACATTATCACAGAATCATTTTGGGACCAAGTGTGATTATGTGTGTACTTTATGCCCCAGATAAAATGTTTATGGGATTACTGGAGCTGAGATTGCCAGGCGAAACTGAGACCCACAAGCCCCATTCTTGCTTGGGTGAAGAGGGAGGAAGTAACCTCATTAATAACAGGCATGTTAGCTGGCTGCACATTAGGTGCCAGGGCTCCTCCAGGCACTATCTCAACCATCCCTGGAAGGTAGGCATCATGGCATCCTCACTTTATATATAAGGAAGGTGAAACTTGGAGAAATAAAACCATCCATCATGAGCTTCTTTTAGGTGGCCCCAAGTGCAAGCTTGAAACCCACAATTTAGCTGACCCAGCAGCAGCCTTCCTGCTTTCGTTGACATCAAGAGCCCCGGGCATTCCTTTGTGGTGGCTGCTTTGAAAATTAATTTCTCCACCCACTCTCCTGGATCTCCTGCCATCTCTTTCAACAGAAACCCAGATTGTGACCTGCAGTCCAATGGGGCTCCCAGCAAGTGCAAAGCCAGCACCTGCTGATTGAGGACACCTGGCCCTGTGATAACAGTACCAACGCCAACAACACCACTGCCTGTGACCACAGGCCAGGTGCTGGATGGCAGACTCTATGTAAATTATGGTCATTTATTGCAACAAGCACTCAAGAGAGAACTGTTATTAATTTTCCTTTTTTTTTTAATGTTAGAAATAGGATATTTAAGCAGGTGAGGCTCAAGGTTGCATGGATGACAAACCATAAAAGCAGGATTGCAACTTGGATCCACTTGGCTCCAAAACCCATGATCGTTGTGATGTTCCCCTGTTTCCTCATTCTGTTTCTCAGTGAACTCTGTCTCTTAGATTAGACATCAGGATAAAGTATTAAGTACTGATGTCTTTCCTCCAAAACTTTCAAAATGCAGATATTTAAGATTGAAGGGCATTTTGCAGGAAGGGACTGTTCAGATAATCTGATCCATTTGTAGGTAAGCACTGTCAGAAAAGGCAAAATCACTCACTCAGGAGATGATCCTGGTAGCTAGGGCACAAGAATTCCAGAAGCTAGACTACTGAGGCTCGAGTTCTGGCTCTATTACCCCCAAATGAGTTGCCTGGGCAAGTTATTTCACCTCTCTGTGCCTCAGTCTTCTCATCTGAAAACTGGGGACAGCAATAACATGTATTTTATAAGGTGGCTGTGAGGATGGGAGGGTAACTGTCTTCATGGCTTAATGCTTTGAACTATGAGAATCATTAGGTGCAACATTTATCAAGTGAACTCTGTCCCAGCCTACCCATTTATAAATGTGAACTCGTGTTGGATTACAGGGACATACTGTGTCTTAAGAACAGTGTCCTTCATTTGAGGGTTTAAAAAATACACAAGTAAAACAAGGAAGGTGAGATTTATTGTGCTTTTAATAGAAAACAACACTTATTGAGAAAAAGAAAAGAATTAGCAAGCAATGATTTTATAAATGAAATTTTAGAGAGAAGCTTTCAATGAGACAAAAATAGTAAGACATTTTAAAAATCAAATTGTTTTTAAGCACACTATTTTTAACACAATGAGATTCTACTTTATAAAAAAAGAATCAACTCACTGGTCTTTTAAGTCTGGAATATAAAGATATTTTCAGAGTTCAGTGTAGAATGGATTCTATTAATTTGCTGACATCTAATTTATTTAGAAGTAGGCCAGCTTTGAAAGCAACTATAACCTACACTATAGGTTTAAAAAATAAAAACAAGAATGCAGTACATTTATGTAGCATTTTATTGTTGTATTAGTCCATTTTCTATTTCTATAACAAAATGCCTGAGGCAGGGTTCTTTGTAAAGAAAAAGAGGCCTATTTAGCTTACAGTTTTGAATGTCCAAGACCTTGGAACCTGAATCCGCTGGCTCAGATGAAGGCCTTTTGGCTACATCACAACATGGCAGATGGAAAAACTGTGGGAGTGTGTGCTAGAGGGATAGATCACATGGTAAGAAAGAAAGCCAGAGAGATTTGGGGACCAGCTTTGTTCTTTTATAAAAATTCATAAGGGAATGAACTCCCTTCAAGACACCAGCATTAAATCTTTCCAAGGGCATGTCTCTAATGACCTAACTAGCTTCTGCTAGGTCCCACCTTTTAAAGGTCCCGGCATTTCTTAATACAACTGGGAACCAAGCCTCCAACACAAGAACGCTTGGGTTACAAACCACATCCTAATCACAGCACTTGTCAAAGCAGGTTCATTCCTCTTCCAAAGGATAATATGAAGTGAAACAGGTATTGTTATGAGAGACTCAGAAGACAGGGCTGCTGCAGAGTAACAGCTAAACATGAAAAGAGGAGTATGAAGAACGGGATCAGGAGTTGCCCTGCAACTTTGAGAAGTTCATTTTAACTCTCTGGGCTCTGGGTGTCTTAGCTATAAATGAGGTAGAGCAGTGGATTTCTAAGGTTCCTGCCAAGTCTAAAATCCCATCTGTCTGTATATATATATATATATATATATATATATACGCACACACACACACACACACACAGATTAGATCATGTATTTTTAATACTCTAGCGTCCATCAAACTTAAAGAATTTGGAGACTGTGCCTGCACTGAACTTTAGTCGCTTAACTATGATTTCCTTTATTAACAGAACGGCTACACATTTCACTTCGGGTGTTAAGGCAGCAGAGTGGTATTTGGTAGGCTTAGCAAATGTTGATGAGCTAGTATTTACTCTTCATAAGAAAATTGTTACTTGGTTTTATACCCTTTCAACCTATTCATACCACGAAATGTAGACCATTACATAAGAAAATTACTTGATTAAGGATAGAATGACAAAATGACACAGGCAAATACAGACCCTTTTAGTTCTTTCATGAGAATTTTCTAAGACACGTATAATTTTCCAGATGCTGAAAAGCTTTCTATGACCCCTGTTATGCTAAAAGAGACATTGAACCCATTTTGAAATGACTAGTAGGATACAGATTTAGGAGGCTCTGGGAAAATTAGAATATTTTTACCACAGCATTATAAGCTATTTTGCTAGCAATGGTCTTTGGAAA